TGACGCTTCACAGCATAGAGCATCTCCATCATCTGAAGTGTTTGCGGTATTGCCTTGTGGATTGGAGTTTTTATTTACACTCCAACAATCCTTCTTCAAGTGACCCTTCTTTCCACAGTTGTAGCACTTTAAATTCTTCTTGCTCCTCGACTTCGATCTACCATGTTTGTGACTGCTGCTTTGGCCACGTTCTGTTGATCTCCCTCTCATTGTTGTCAATGCTTCTGCTTGTTGCAGATTTACTTGTATGTCTTCCTTGTTCTTGCGCCGATTTTTTTCTTGTAGAACAGCAGCTACAACGTCATCGAAGACTAGACTAGTGACATTACTGTTTGTCAAGTTAATGATGAGTTGATCATACGAATCCGGTAGACTTTGAAGTAGAAGTTCAACACGTTCTTGTTCTCCTATTTTACAGCTTAAGGATGTAAGCTGAGAAAATAAAGTGTTCAGTGTATTTAAGTGCTCTGTCACTGAAGTAGATTATGGCATACGAATAGTGTACAATTTTCTCTTAAGAAAAATTTTATTGTGCAGCGATGTGGCCTCGTACAATTTGGTGAGATGATCCCATATCTCCTTAGCTGTCTTCTTCTCCTCGATGCTTGACAATACTTCATCTGCTAATGCTAGATGGAAGTTTGTCATATCATTCCCGTCCATTTCGATCCATTTGTTGTCATCTGTGAAATCCACTAGCATTTCATTGATAGCTGGTAGACAACCGTCTTTCCTCGGGATGGCCTTCATCTTTAATTTCCACAATGAGAAATTTCTCCCATTGAATTTTTCAATATCAAATTTTGTTGCCATAGCTTCTTTTACGGATAGCTCCCACTATTTCACTATCATGAATAGTTCTCTGGAACCTTCAAAGAATTGGTAATAACTTCTTACTCTCTTATGTTGGAGGATCCACCTTTTGGTGGCAACCACAAAGACAATAAGCATATATTACACACTCTAATCTGGCTCGGATACCAATTGTTGCGGAAGACGGCTATCGGATAGAGCAAAATCGCAACTGATAATTTGAGAAAATAAAAATGAAGATAAAGAAGACACAAAATTTACGTGGAAAACCCCTAAATAATATAGGGTAAAAACCACGGGCAACGGTAAAAGAATTTCACTATGAGAAAATAGGAATTATAACCTCTCTCGATCTACTACGGAGAAAACAATGATAATTCTCTCTTGATAAAAAGGAGAAAACAACTCTCAAGAAACTCTCTAAATTCTCTCTAGTATTGGAAGAAAGCTAGAATGCTTTGGGATGATTTTGAAGCTAAATGAGCTAGGGTATTTATAGTTGAAGCTCTAAGGACTAATTTGTAAATACCCTAAATTACAATGGCTAAAATTGAGTTTTACCATTGTTGAAAAAATCAACAAATGTTGCATCCATTTAATTCCACTGAAAGCCACCGAATTTTCCATGTGCAAAGCCACCAAAATTGATTTTGTGCAATTTGACTTTCAACAGAACTCAACCCTAGAAGGGTTGAGTCTGGGCGTGCCGATGATCGGCATACCGAAATGGACCGATCAATTGACCGACGCTAAGTTCGTGGAGGACATTTGGGATATCGGGGTGATAGTTGAGGAAGACAATGAGGGTGTTGTGAGGAAAGATGAGCTGATGAGATGCTTGAAAGAAGTGATGGAAGGGGAGAAGAGCAAAAAGATGAAGAGAAGCGCTAACAAATGGAGGGATTTGGCTAAGCGAGCGATCGACCAAGGAGGGAGCTCGGATAAGTTTATCAATGAATTTGTGGAACATTTGATGGCTTCTTACGACAACTTGAATAATGGACATTGCTAAACATGTTGTATTGTGTGTTCTTTTTTGTTTCATTACATTAATTAATCAAATTTGGACAAAAATCTTAAACGTGTTGATCATGTTTACCATAATGTATTCTGTTTTTTATATCATTTTTGTGCTTATCATGTATTGCATTTGGATCGGGTCTAAAGTTATTTAATGTGTTATTCTTATTTGAATTCCTCGTTATGTAATAAAAGGAAATAAAGTTTAATAAAATGCTTATATGATGATTTTGTGATAGTATGCACTCAGCTTTGTTAGTTTCTAGAAAAATCACATAATTTTATTATCAAATTTTAGTTATGGATTCAATTAAACCACATAATCGTTAAACCTTTAACAACGAGATGATGAGACAGTTTGGTGCTGACATACCCTACGTAGAAGCTAAAAAATATTTCTATATTCTTCATCATCGTCTTCTTTATTAGAGTTTTTTATTCATTTTTAACGGTCGTAAAAAAATATCATTCTCTGATGCCTTTTGCGACCATCATAGATAATGATAAACTAATCTCATCGTCCTCTACCGCTTTATTGATTTAGATATCCTTAAACCTCTTTAAAATTCACAAAACTAAACACAAAAAGCTTCATATTTGGGGTTTCAGAGTTTGCTCAATTTGAGGGGTTTCGATTTTTTCCCAAAAATTCAAATGGTGAGAAGTATATTCTTTTAAGAAGACAAAGAACATACATTGAATCCAGTCTCATCAGACAATCAAAATATGAGATCAAAGTATTAGAACATCTAACATTTAGACGGATTTTTGTCGATTTTGTGTAGGTTTCGTGAAAAACTAATCCAACGAGAGAAAATAAGAGTGAATTGCGGACATTTTGAGATCTTGTCATGAATGGTGGTTGGGACAAGTAAAAATTGACTAGAACCAACAACCACAAGAGATGTTGATTTTCTACAATGAAAAATTGATACACAAACTAAAGTTCAATATCTAAAATTGAAACATTTTAAAATTTATTAACAAAATTAATACACAAATCAAAATTCACATGGAAGAAACAATCATATCATCACGATGTTAACAATCTAGAGTTCCTAATTAAACTTGAAACTAAAATTTAGTGTTAAAATTGAATTAATTTAAAGTTCAATAATAAAAAGGATATAAAACCTAAAGTTCAATGGTGCTTGTAGTTTACTCCTATTTTTTAATCTTTTATTATTCTCCTGAAGCGTTTACTTCAAACTTGTAAACGTTTTTTTCATTTATTCCCTTTAGATTTAGTTAATCGACTTTTCCAGCATCGAATTGTATACACCAATATAAGATTCCCATTACAGTTATAACGACAACAATTTAAGAAGACAGAAATGCAAATGAATTTGTTTTAATATATATATATATATATATAATATATATATATATATATATATATATATATATATATCTTACTAATTAAATAATAATCGACTATCTATACAATTACATAAAAAAGAATCCTTTAACAGGTTCCCCTCTTGACAGTTGTCCTCTTTTTGTAATCATTATAAGATTTGTTAAATTCCAATGTTGGGTGCTCTATTAAGCTCAAATTTAAACCAGAAATTTAATTTCATTGAGATCCAAGGATCGAGCACGTCGTATGTCGGGGTGTATGTACGAGTGTTTAATGTCAAATGGTTGAGAATCTTATTAATAAAATAAGAGTCTTGTTTGAAGTCCGATTGACTTGTAATTTTACATTATATTTATATGGATGTTATATTAATTGATGTACGATAGTTTAGGTTTTTTTTGGCATGATTTTATATGAAGTATGTGAAAAAAATGAAAATACCCATTAACATGTTTTGTAAAATTTCTTGAAAATTTGTATGTTTCTAATTTTTTCTTGGTTTAGAATTATCTACATCTCTAGCTTCTGTTCGAAAATTATCTTACATTTAATATGTGAAAATAATGAAAATACCCATGAACATGTTTCATAAAATTTCTTGAAAATTTGTATGTTTCTAGTTTGTTCTTGGTTTAAAATTATGTACGCTCTCGCTGCTGTTCGAAAAGTGTCTTACATCTAATAATAAGAAAGACATGCAACTACTTGAAAAATATTGTGTAGCTTTAAAACTTGTCATATTCTTTTTCTCGACCAAAATATAAATACTACAATCGAGACTGAAAAGAGGATGGAAACATCGACTAACAACCATTCTTTCATAAGTATAACTTTCCGCACAAACTAAAGAAATGAACCATTAAGGGTGGATGGAGTAAACTTGTTCCATCAACAATCCTATTATTAAATTGATATGTAACGGCCGAAGATTCATGGACGTATCATCAACTAAAATGGTTAACAGTATTGCGTAAATTTGGTAAACCATACGTGCACAACTTCGATTATGTGAGTGGTTTCGTCATGCATGAAAGATGTTGGTATTCTGTTGATAAGTGCTGATGCAAGACATGTGGTCGTAGAGTTAACATGAACCAGTCTGTGACTTATTTTAAAACATGGTTTGAGTCGATTATGTCATTGTTCATTAACTACCTACTTGGTAGAAGTGGAGAGAACTCGATTAGAAATGGAGCTTAGTCTGCAAAGCTCAGGCAGGACAAATAGCACAGCTGTTGCTTTTCCTTTTAGGCTTCTTTTTCTATTGTATTGTTGAGAAGGTGGATATGAATTTCTGCAAAAATTAGATCATTCAAATGTGCGTGAAGTTGGCAGTTCTGATAAAATCATATCATTGGTTACGTTTTCTGGGAAAACCTTTGACACTTGGTAGAAATAACTTGTGATAAGGCAGCATAAGGCAGCATAAGGGTTAGAAATCAAACGACTTGAAAAGGTAAGATTATTGATATTCGATCATATTTTAAGAAGACATCTTGACTTGTAAATATCCAGATCGCATCCAATAAGATACAAATCTACTGATATTTCAGACTTCAAAATCAATTTCAATTTCTTATCCAAAACAATTAGTCATGTTCTTCCCTTCCCTTTGAATTGGGCTCTACATACATGATAGTGTTGAAGGCGGCTTCTACCTGTATTTGGCTTTAGCTACAGAAGACTCCGGTTCTGATATGAAACTTTAAAATTTTAGTAAAGCTTAATCTTTTCTATTGTTGAAAACATGTATTTAGCAATTCTTGCACGAGGAGTATAGTATAAACTGATCAAGTTTGGAATTTGCAACACAATGTAAAATCCAAGGCTCTTCTGAACTGAGAAGCTATACATGTTTTTTATTTCTACAAACAGATTTCAATTTGGGAGCTTTCATTGCAAGTAGAAAAATCTGGGTTATCACCTTCATTCAACCGGTGAATTTCCATTCCCCCTAATGTTGGGTCTTCATTAAACAAAAGACGCGGTTCGTTGTCATTCTCAAAACCTAATCTACACCTTACAAATGGAACCTGAAAAACATAAACATCATTAACTTCCAGCCTCAGAGATGCTCTGTAATGACGGCCGCCATGATTTTGACCTCATTGTAGCGGCGTTCACAGGTGTTTTGCTTGAGCTTTGTCTTTCATGCTTCGGTTCCTGAAATGTTTAGAACATAAGGACCTTAGTGTTTAGGTAGGGGAAAAACATAGGATACATACTTGGTTGGTGGTCTCTGCGTCAGACTTTCTTCTTGAACTTAGGTTGTCTTGTCCATGGTGCTGAAACTTTTTCATGGATTCCCTTTTCGTTTTTGCATATTTCTTGGCTCTCGTGACCTTCATAACATCTGCAGGCGCAGGGAACAAACGGTAAGTAATTTCAAAATTAATATAAAAAAAGGTGATGGAAAGCAACAATCGGGAATCTTCCAATAAAGAAAGTGAAGAACATGGTACCTTGAGAAGTGATAAGGCGATAAGCATGGCCGAGGGTGAGAGTTTCGGTCGGCCGGAGAAGCTTAACACGAGTGAAACGCACGGTATTCTGAGGTTGATTCCCTTGTTGATCCTCAGACACAGGCAATGGAATGATGAGAGAAACATAATGACCGGGATTCATTCTCATGATTTCACTCACCGGGATCTGCCAATATAGCCTCTCTTGCCTCCCGGACGGATGCTGTATGACCAGCGCCGCAGCGTCTACGGCTTGGCAATTCCCCATCTCACTCTCTCTCTCTCTCGAAGAAGAAGAAGATTGGAGTTTGAATGAGAAGGAAGAAGAGGGTTAATAAGTAAGAAGCAGAGTTTTTGAATACAATCCTAGCGATATAATAATTAATAGAAGGCAGGGGCTTGGCTCATTTCCCAACTAAACTTATTAAACGGCAGGCTTCATGCAAATGCTAATGAATTAATAATAATAATAATAATAATAATAATGTATGGCAGAGGTACACGTGGAGAAATGTGGGAATTTGGAAGGTTTGAAATTTATAATTACAGACAGGGTGGGGGGGAGGGGTTGTATGACTTTTAGCGTTCAAAAACAAAATTATAATATAAGAAGAGGATGCATGCGTGTGAGGGGAGTAGGGCAGTAAACGAGAGTAAGAGACAAGTCGAGTTTGAAAATCGTTAATTTTCAAAAATGAAACTAAATTTGATTCAATTCAAAATTTCATAAGCTTAAGATTTTTAAGTTCTAATTGAATTCAAAATTAAAAGTTAAAGTCTGACTCAACTTCAAAAGAATTTGAACTAAAAACATTCAAACTTAAATTTGAACTCAAATATGAATATTAAGTACAGAAAAACTTTATTCTACATTTTTTAATGAAAAATAATAATAAATATTAATAATTTAATTTAAAAAATAAAAATAATTTTTTTGGAATATCACATAACTCACTTTAACCCCTTAAGAATTCAAATCAAATTTAAATATATTAAATTCACTTAAATTAAGTTTTCACCAAACTTTCATCAAGTCAATTTTAAATAATTTATGATTCGTCTTGTTTTGTTTAATTAGAGAAAAAGGAACAAGAACTAATCTATCTTAATAATTAATAGATGATTATTATCTCTAAAAAATTTAAATTCGAACGTTAAATATTACAAAGATATTTAAACTTTTATTATTAAAAAATTATAACAATTAATATTATTTATAATTATCTTAAATTAATAAAATAAAATAAAAACAAGGGGAGAGGAGATTCCTTTGGTTGGACGATGATTTGACAACCCTACCGCGTAATCCGCGATATGCTTTTGGTTCTTGTCCATGGCGTTGGGTCTAAACATTGATTCACCCTCGCTCAGGGTACAATATGTTAATTTTATTTAATTTTGATGAATTTTAAAATATTTAAATACAAAGTCTGCCTGAATATCTTTGACCCTTGTAAATCTGGTTCAGCTTAAACTATTTGAATCCCAAAGTTTGAAATTTAATAAAACTACACGTCCCTGGATCATTGTCAGTCCATGTATGCCATGTGACGAGTTGGGTTCACAAATTAAATAATAAAAGTGACTATTCTTTGTTCAAATATGACTCCTGTCCTGTGGGGGACTGCTATGCCCTTGGGAGGGGAAGGCTAAACTTTCAATCTTTTAAAAACTAAAAATTACAGTCACTGATTCTTCTTTACAAGACAATCCTGTGGGGCAGCAAATTTAGGCATTCAATGTACGTTCCTTTCCATTTAAGCGTTCTATTTTTCAAATAAAAGCTGTCTTTACAATGGTTCGGCATCAATTCTTTTAACATTGATTAGAGCTTAATCATTGATAGTATATATACATCCTACAAATATAATTGTTTAATTTTAAGAATTAAAAAATAACAGTTATTTTAACCATTTATGTCACTTCATAAATTCGAAATGTAAAACTATTGTAAATCATATATTGTTAAATTTATTTAAGAATTATGTATAAATCAAACTTTCAAGATTTATGAATTCGGGACGGTCCATCCCAATCCAAATTCATATACTTAGGGGTAAAGGTTGGGGTTATTTTTCCATTTTGTTTTCATTCTACATTCTTGTTCCATCCCCTATAAATACAAGGCAATTAAAACCATGGATTTAAGACAGTCTGACTGGAAAGAATGTCTGTATTTGAATGATTATTGCATGATCTACAAAGACAACTTGGAAACGAAGTGAAAGATGAGTTTTTGAGTTGTCCCATTAATTCAATGGGGGAAGTTCGTGTACGATAAAATGTATTTAATTTTAAACCACATGTCTTTGAAATCAAAGATGGATTGATAGAAGTAGGTGGAGACGATTATTCTTAAAATTTTTAAATTCTTTTATATTTTAGATATATATTTTTATTGAAACTCTATTCTTACCCCTTAAAATTTTATAAATTCTTCCTACAGTATAAAATTTTTGTATCCATCCCTGCTTGAAATTAGATTTAATGTGAATGGATGGCTATATAATCTTATAAATGCAGCACCACAATTCAATAATATCGTACCAAAACTTTTTATAATTTAATGCATACATATAATTAACTGCAAAGTGGAATTGTATCCCATACATGGATTCACTCATGTTTTTAACTCTTTTTCTAATATAAAGTAATATTTGTTTAGAATTTTTAAAATCTATTGACAATGTGCATACATTATGCAGGCGCAACTACTCAAACATTACCTCTAGAGAGAATAATATTCTCTTTTATCACTGAAGTCACTTGATGAGTTCTGCGATCTAGTATATTTAAATATTTAATCTATTTTTATTTAAAATAAAAAAATTCTAAATAGTCCAAGTATTATATAAAATGTCTTATTTTCATTTTTTATATAGTAATAAAATAATTAATTATTGGTAATTTTTTGTGCATAGAACTAATTTATAGGGGGGGGGGAACTTATTTTAAACTCGATCTTTGAATATATTGAACCAAAATTAAAGTCGAATAATGGCTCCATGTATATAATAGTAACATTATTATTATTATTTTGGTTTTGCTCATGTTGGTGGCCAAATGTGGTTATATTATTAGTATAATAATAGATAAGATAAGATAGTAATATCAATTTGGCAAATTTGATGAATCATAGAGCGGTCAACTTGTAAGAGAGTAGCTGGAGAAGGTTCTTGAAAGTATCATTACAAATATTGGATTGGGCAATGAAATAATAAAGTACCTTACCTAAACTAATAGAATTCTTCTGTCTCCACTCCATGTCTTTATATATATACCTCACCACTTCTATTATAATCCATGTATTAATGATATATTAGCAAATTAGGAAAGTTTATCATCTTCTTTATTTCCTCTTTTTATTTAATTTTTTTATTTTCTTATTAAAATAAAATCAACATCAGTTTGGTAATATTTTTTCATTTTTTTAATAATATTCTATTAATTTTAATAAACTTAAATTATTTAATATAAACTCTAAACCCAAACTCTAAATCCTTAACCCCAAACCCTAAACTCTAAAATCAAAATATAAAATATAAACAAAATTAATTGAACTGGATTATTATAAATGATCTAATTGTTTTAAAAATTAAATTTAATAATAAATAAAAATAAATTAAATTCACTTTAATAAAAAAATTTAAAAAATATTACCAAACTAATGTTGATTTTTTTAGTAAGAAAATAAAGTTAAATGAAAAGAAAAAAAATAATAAATTTCCTTAATTTACTAATATATCATTAATACATACGTCGCAATTTAAGTGGTAGGATATATACATAAAATTTAATTTAGATTAGATTAGAAGTAAGGACTCAAGATTTGACATATCATATTTCTTTTTTATGTCGTCGATAAATAATGATATGACATATCATGTTTATTCTTTATGTGGTCAATAAGTAATGGTCTATAGTTACCTATGTCTTTCTAGCAAACAACAAAATGGTATTGCAATTGTCTCTCCTAGAAAACGCTATAAAGTGACAAATTATATTTTAATTTGTTTCGATGTTTTAATATTTTATTTTATTATTCTCTACACCTTTTCTGATTTGAGCAAAGAGTCATATCTTACATCTTATCATAGTGAGGCTTCCCATTTTAGATAGTTCATCTTTTTTCTTTGATGTAGGTGGAGAATCATAGATTTATCTCACTAGTTGGCATCCCAATATGGATATCTCATCGACACCTCTCATGGACTTGCATAGGTATTGTCCCGTAAACTTACAAAAGTATTTATAGTTATCTCGACTTTCTTACTTGCATAATGATCATAATAGTTTACCTTTTCTGATTAGGACAGAATTATAAAAATATTACAATTCCCCTATCTCATGTGTTAGGGAGCTTCTCACGTTGTTCGAACCAAGGCATATCATTTAGAGGATTTACGGGGGTCTTTAAAGTTAATATAGTGGTGGGTTATTCGTGAGAATCTTCGTGGATCAAACAAACACTAAAATCAACGGTTCTTATTTAGATGGATCTCACATTCCACCTTTTCTGATTTGGATAGAGAATTATTAATTCCAAAGTTATAACTTCCAATATTTTAATTTTAATACCACAACTTTTAATATTTCAAATATACAACTTAAATTAGACATGATGCCATGTAATATTATTTTGATATTAACAAATATGCAACTTAAATTATACTTTTATAGTAACCCATTGTTAAAATTATGATAAATGCAAAGTGAGTTTTCTCAAACACACTAAAATGTTTTTATTTTCTTATAATTATTGATATTTGATTTATTGATCAACTAATTTAAATCAGATATTATAAATACTAATTCTGAGAGTGATCTTTCTAATTCGAATCTTTGATCTTATTTAAAAAAATCTACTAGACCAGTCGATAATTAAATCAAATACTTTTAATTTTTAATGCAGCTTTAAACATCACTGCCAACCTCATTTTGTCCCTCAAAACTTTATTTTTCTCCGACCAACAAAAGATTGCACATTGGCGTTTTACATCCAAATTCATGCATGGATAAAAAGAGATGTCCACTTTTCTTTTCTTTTTTGTTTTAAAGGCTGATGGCTGCAATTGTTCCATCTGCATGCATGTGGAATTAGATCTAATAGACATGTTTAATATGAATTATTGATTGGTTAGACAACGACATGTCAACAGTAACACAAGACTCAGACATTGACACCACAACACCCGCTGGTATGCTTGTCACCTTCTGCCTGTGAACTGTATCATATCAAACATTAGGGTTTGCTCCCCTTTCTTTCATACACTTAATTTAAAATATTATTATGACATAAACCTATTTGTCAAAGGGAAGTGTGTAGCTAGTCGTCAATTCAATTGAACCTAGAAACATATGAATCCAGCGATCTTATTGGTTTAAAGGATGGTTATTATATTTAAAGGTCTCGAGTTTGAGCACGACGTCTGTAGAAATGTTTGAACACTTATTGTCAAATAGTTGAGAGTCTTCTGAATAAATAATATCTTATAATCATCCAAGCTAATTAAAAAAATTAAACCAATGGCTATAATGGTATTCCCCCTCCTTTGGACACCCATCTTTGCCAACCTTTTTCAATTCATCATTTCACTTCATTAATTATCTATTTGTAATTCAAGATTAATATTTATAAAAATAGATTGAATCAAAAATATAGTTTTATGCTAATTATTTAATTTAAAACCAATTAAACATGTAAAATGATTTAACCTGAATCTACAACAAGAAATAGTTTACTCGTAATTAGGTAAAATTAAAAAATCTTATCCGAACTTGATCCCATTCTAGTTGAACTTTTTAAGCCTGACCCAAAAACTAATTGATAAATCAAAGTCAAGTGGCTGTACCACGAAATTATCTTGTCGTGGAAAGTTCCTATAAACTTTTTAAAAAAGTTTTTAAGGCGAGGTTAGGTCTCTCAAAGTTGGTACAACATGTGAACGGTTCCAAAGAGTGTTGGACCGGTTGTAATGCTTTAACTTTTAATTCACTGTATTAGGGATGGACGTTACGTTTTATGTTAGGAGTGAACTTATACAATTTTAAGAAGATATATACTTATAAAATTTTAGGGAGATTATAATAGATGTTTAATAAAAAATACAGAGAAAATATCTAAAATATACACGAATTTAAAATTTTCAAAGACGACTATCCCTCCCTGTTCCTTCTATCCATCTCTAATTGTATCAATAACTATGACGTCCACCAAATACATGATTGGATTATCATTATATTTTTTGCGACCAAGTATTGTTTTGTTATGAAAAATGTAGGGTCACATTCTTAATTTAAGACTAGAAAGAAAACAGCGATAGAAGCTAATCAAACCGAGCATTTGGCTTGATGGCTCCCACCCCACGGTCTTGACAGGCATAGATCCCAAGCATTGAATAGAAACTATATGTTTTTGTTTTTTTCTCTTACCTATTTACTAAGTAGGTTAAATAGTAATTCGATTTATAAAATTATATATTATTATCATTTTTGTGCAAATTTTTTTTATTTACTTTGAATCATGAATTTTCTTTCTGTAAAGCATGTTAAAAAAAATATCACGCAACACACTAGAAACATGCCAACAAAAAAAAATGTTTTACATAGTCATTCAATCACCAAAAATATCACATTTTTCAAAATTTAATTTTTAGAAACAACTTATAAGTGAAACAAACAAATCCTAAATAACATTAATCTTATTCACGTCCTACATCAATCTTTCGTATAGAGCGATAGTACATAAAATTCTTTTAGTTTTACATAAATTTAGGATTGTTGAATACTTGGATTAGTGAAAATAGATGGTTGAGATTAACAGTAGGAAATGAGAAGATATTCAATACAGAAAAAAAACGAGTTAATCTCAACAATCTATTTTCACTTATCCAACAGTCCTAAATTTGTGTAAAATTAAAGAATTTTACATTATGTAAGTGGATCACAACTCATATATATATCGAAAGTAATTAAAGAAAAGAAATTTGCAGTTTTATTTATAAAAAGAAGGAAATTTGTAGTTTGAGACCGGTGCATGCAAAGAAGCTTCGGAGTGAGGCCTACATGCTTGAATTGGATCAAATTAGGGCAAAATTTCTATAATATGTTGATGTAGTGGATTTTAAATAATTATTTTAATAAAAATATTTATTTATTTAAAAATTAAATTATATAATATTATAATATAAATTCTTAAAAGTGTTAAAAATTTAAAAAACGTTGGAAAGTTAAAACGAAAGCATGAACAGTGAGTCCATAAAATATTACGAATTCAATCTGCTGGTAGATTGGGCCAGTCCATTAGCAAGAAATAATTAATGGCCCGAATGCAATAGTGGACAAAACATTCATAAAGGCAATGTACACAAAAGCATTTATGATTCGAACTTTCTTTATTGCGTATAATATTAGTTTAGACATTCAGAATTAAATTTTATGTTAGGGAGGGACTTATAAAATTTTAGAAGGGAACGAAATTATAAATTTTTGGGGACGAAAATAGATTATCAACAGAAAATATATATAAAAAATTTAGAGGTGGACACCCATCACCATCGGTCTATCTATGTACATATTCATATAATGTACGCATTACTTATATGTATAAATTAAAAATATTTAAGTAGCAACACAAGTCCACCAAGATTATAAGAAAGGAAAAGCAACACAAGTCCACCAGATAGTTCACCACATTATCACCTGGATTCAACGTACACAAATAAGAATGCATAAACAATATGTATAACTAGGTCTATGTTGATTTCGGTGGTTTTATCAGCTAAAAGGAGTTCTGTTTTAGTACTTGGCTATCCACCAGGCTGTCAAAATAAGAATGAAAAGCAGGGAAAACCTTCATCAGAAGGAACCTCTGGTGTAAGAAGCTTACAAAGATGAATTTTGACTATTTGCGAAAAGACCAAACAAATTTGTTAAATAAATTCTCAATTCACCATGTATGCACTTCTATGCTAATAAGAGCAGGCAACCTCCGAAGAACTGCAATCTACTTCCTTTAAAGAACCATATCGCTGAATTACATAAACAATTCCAAGGGAAAATTATGAGGTATATTAACAAACCAGAAATGGCCGCAGACACTGTCACCTCCGGTCCAGATATTGGAATACCAGAATACCGGGATGTGTCTGACAAGAGTATTCTCAATCCCCCCCCCCCCCCAACACACACAAAAGTTTTCCCCTATATTTCGAGAATTACAGCCCATAATCATGTCTGAATACGTGTTGGATACAAGTGTCAAACAGAGAAAATGAAGAGGACAGAGATAAAATAGCCTTACATTCCATTGTCCTCTTATACGTTATCCCTAATCTAGTTGAATTAGATGGCATTAGTTCTATCTTCCATGAATATATCAACTCCCCTCAACACAAAGAGGGGAAAGAAACAGGAAATGGACACTTCAATCGAGAACCAATAGAAACATGATAATACTCGAGAGTTATCAGATTGAGCAGTATTAAACCAAAACAATAGGGCAAGAGAAAATAACCTGAAAGCAACAGCAAGGATGAAGGTGAAACCTGGGATGAGATTAAGTATTGCAGTTACAAGAGTAGGCGAGCTATAATATATCCCAGCATACCCAGTAATCTGGGCAAAACAACTGCATACAAATCACCAAGTAAAACACCAATAAAACCCTCGAACCCATTGTTATATAATTTAAAAAAACACCATAATTTCCATCAATGTTGCATACCCAAGAAGGCCAAGCAGGAAAAACCAACATAGAATAGAGAAAGTGAGCGGAGGACGGTGTGATCTGCACAGAAAATGGAAATCAAATAAAAATGGAGAAATGAGTATTAATAAGAGGGAGAGGGAGAATGGAAGAGAAGGGTACCTGTGGAAGAGAAAGGAAGAAGGGAGGAGAATGAGAGACGCAAGAACATTGGAATAAAAGACGAAGACCAAGTTAGGCATCCCATGGGACATTGCTGCTTTTCCCATTATCATTAGTTCAACTTGAGCCCACTCTGCCATTACCATCCCCACCATTAGCAAAGCAATCTCCTTCCCCATTCTCTGATCCTTTTCTTCTTTTTTCTTCTTTAAGGTGAATTTCAGTTCCGGCGAAGAACTTCTACTGTTCTAGCTTCTAGGAGCTGAAACTAAGATCATAGATTCAATTTTTCTTTTTGAACGTAATAATGGATTCAAGTTGATCAATAGATACAAAAATTAAAATAATAAAATATTAATGACATTTTATTATAGATAAATGCGCAGCCATGGCTAACACTACCAGCTAGAAGACAAAGGAGCGAAACCAAGTCGCTGCTGACATTTTATTATAGATAAAATTTATATGTATTTAATTATTTAAAATTAATTAAAATTTAATTATTAAATAAATATAAACAATTTTAAATTTTATTTTTAGAATTTTTAATTTAAATTTTAAATAATTAAATACATATAAGGCTTAAATATACAAAGTTCAACTTTTGTTAACGTTTATTTCGTTCTAGTTTGGTGTTTAACATTTCATTCCGTCACTCAAAATGGGTCAAGCCGTGACGGATCGTTAATTTTCTCAGTTAAGTGACAAGTGTCACAATTTGATATTTTAAAAAATTTATATGAAATTTAAAAAATAAAATTATATATATTTTTAAAAAGAAAACACAAATTTTAAAATAACCCCAAAACTTTGAAAACCTTCATTTCAACCCCTAAACCCATACCGACCGCCATCTTTTGCTATCGACGAATCTCCACCCGACCTCACCTTCCCCCGCCAATCAAAACCCCTATGAAATTGTGACTAATCAACGGTCGATCGATGAAGAATCGACGTTTTCTACATGTGAACCCTAGGATGAAAATCGCAATCCCAAGCGATTTCGACGGCCAATCGATGATAACTACGACGACTTATAACTAGGATGATGACAAGGACTACATCAGCGGCTGTGGTCATGGCCGGAAAGAGAGGCGTCAGCGGGTTAGTGTTAGGAATTTTAGGGATTTTTTTTGTAATTTAAAAGAAATAAGGGTTTTTTAACAAATATAATAATATTTGTAATTTTTTAAAATATTCAAAATTATCAGATTGTGACATGTGTCACTTAACGAAGAAAACTAACGGTCTGTCACGACTTGACCCATTTTGAATAACAGAATGACACTTTAGGCACCAAACTGGAACGAAATAAACGTTAGACACTAAATTAGAAAAACGGGCATAGGTTGAACACCTTTTGTATATTTAAGCTTGCATATAATTTTAAACTACTTATGATATAATATAATTTTTTATAATATTTATTTATTTATAAAAAAATTAAAATTTATATTATTTTATAAATAAATATCATAAATTTATTTTTTAAAACAAATTAATATTGATTTTATAAAATATATAAATAATTATTTGATTATTTTAAATTGGAATGCAAAATTATTTTTTATAACCACCAAATTTCGATCAATTAATTCTGATCATGTATTGTTAATTTAATATTTTAATAAGCTAAATAATAGTTTGGTTTGTAATAAATTAATTTGTCATCTAATTTATTGGTTAAATGTTTGAATATTTTTGTGAGAAGTCTTAAATTCGAATCATAGATTTAACAATTTTTTTATTTTTTAGTGGTAGTTTAATATAAGTTAAATATATACTTTGGCAAATAAATATCAATGACATGCCTAGTGTATGTGGCTAGGTGCTTGAAACAAAAAGTAAACGTTAAGTATGATTTTGAAAAAGTTAAAAGCTTAGGTACTAAAGCATAATAAAACAGATAGTTTAGGTATTAAACGTGTAATTTACTCAAATATTTAAAGTATTATTATTGCAATTTTATTATGGGTAAACTACATAAGTAGTCACCTAAGTTTTAGTAAAGTTTTTGTTTCACCATTAAAGTTTCAAACATTACAAAATAATAACTAACGTTATCATTTTATAACAAATTGGCCGCTCGGTCATTAACCGTCGTCACTCCAAACACGAAAAGCTGATGTAGCACATTTACTTGGCTTACCTGATATCGCTTAGCCACGTCAAACCATATTTGATAGACCATTTGACCGAATTTTTTTAAAAGAGGATTGTATAAACCCTAATTTCAAATGGGGACAAGATGTTCTATTTGCAAAGCGTCAGTTAGGTGCAAACTTATTTGAAATCGCTCACAGTGAGTTTTCTACCCTATCCATTTATTCTTTCTCTTTATTTTGGGTTTCCTATATTTGAAATTAAGAAGAAGAAGAAAACAATAAAACATACACATTCAATAAGATAAAGAAATTCAAAGCTCATAGATTTAAAGTTCAACCGATTAAGCAGATAACAGAGTATTAATCATTCCTATTTATAACAAAGATGATGACATTACCGCTTACTAATTGGTCTTGTAGGAAGAGTAGTTAGGTTTTGTAAAAATAATATTTTTGTTTGAAATAATCCAATAATTATTTAGTGTAAATAATAATTTATCGTACAAAAATTTAAATGATTCGAACGATAGGTGCTCCTGCGGGTTGAAAGTTTACTTGAGCATCACTATATATGGAAGATCTTCTAGAGGCTTCAAGGGAATTTGTGCCGAGGATAAATCACTGGAATGCTAGTTCCGGAGATATATAATAATTCTCATCAGATTTCTCAAGACCTATATAAATAGTTTATCTCCGATTAGAATTATTTTATAGCTCCGGAAGTATCAATCCATCAGGAAGTATCTTCAACCTTCTGCAACTCTAAATCTCCAATAGTCGAAGACAAGACATGGCTCCATCATCAACCTTCCACTCCATCGGATTGATCTCATCGAATGAAAAAAGTGATGGCATATTAGGACTTTTAACGCATTGCATCCTAGAAAATGGGGTGCAAAATTTGTACAACGAGCACGCATTTGATTGATCAACAATGGAGATGAACTTTTTCTTGTTTTGCCTTTGACAAGCAAAGATCTCTCATTAGGTCATGCATCTGTAAAGCTCCGACCTTTTAAGTTTGCAGCATCTCTTTCTCCTCTAGGCACTGCAACTCAAACAAGTGATCAGATCTCCCTTGCTGAAAATGGTGGCTTTAAACCATCCCAAGCCTCAGTGTTCCAAATATCATCAAGTATCACCAGCTTTACTTGGTTGTGGGGATATATTATTTTGGCAAGACTGATCTTTCCTACACCACCCATTCCTCATATGGAAGAAACGACCCTCCTTGAGCAGCTCCCTTTGCAAGCCCTCCATGGCTGATCAGATCAAACACAGAACGATACGGTGGAATTCTTGGCTTCCAGCACCATAGATTATATATAGTTCAAGGTTTAAATAAAGTGTACAATTCTTGCTTGTGGACATAGGTTTAGGATATTCCCATAAAAAGAATAAAAGTAGTGTGCATAAGGGGAATTAGATTCTTGCCTAATTGCTCGGCAATTACTTGCAATTAAAGGAAGCTAAAAATAATTTCTTTTCTTTATCCCATTCCTGCTTCATGTTTAAGCAAAGAATTAGAAGGACTTTAAACAAATTTAAAGTAATTATATGGGCCCAAATTTAACCATTTAATTTAAACCTAGGTCCTTTTCAAATATTCTGATTTTATTATATGTATTGATTATAAATTATAAATGACATAATGTCAAAAAATAACCTCTAACGTTTGATTAAATAGTCATTTTAGCCCATATTCTTTTTTGGGAGCATTTTTGCCTATAACATTTCATTTTGAGACAAAAAAGACACTTATGTGGATCGAAACCGTTAGTTAACAATGATTAATGTTCCAAAATAAAATGTTGGGAGGCAAAATGTTTAAGAAAAAAGAATATGGGACAAAATCACTATTCAATCAAAAGTTAGAGACAATTTTTATCCTAAAATAAAATATTTGGGGCTAAAATGCTCCAAAAACGAATAGGAGTCAAAATGGTCAATTTGATAAACGTGGAGAGCTAATTTTGACATTATATCATTACTAATTTATATTTTAAATCTTAATTTAATACAAATTCAAATACTTGGTTAAGGATAAATTAATTCTTAAAAGTTAGGGTGCAAATTATAATTTAAGCCAAAGTCAAGGTGTCAAATTGCATTAAAAAAATTGCATAGCATCTTGGGTAATAAAATTTAAAATTATCCACACAAAAAAAATTGCATCAAAAATTCAGTAGTCGAATTGCATAGCAAAGTCAAAGGGAGGGGATGATAGGTACATTAAACCAATAAAATATTGTGATGCTATATTTAAAAATATGAATTTGACAAATTTGTATTTGTTATATAAATTATAAGAATGAAATGTTTAACTTACTAATAAATTAATCGGGTTTTAATAATATATATTTGAAAAATATCAAAAAGAAAAAGAAAAGAAATTGTGATATCTCTCGATTTACGTTTTTTTTATTGAATTCAATTTTAAAATAAATAAAAAATAAAAGATAAGCAAATAAGCGATAGCTTGATTAATTATGATATTATTAAATTAATCTTTAGAAATAAATAAATGAAAAAGATCAAATAATCAAAAAACGTGTCAAAATACATAAAAAAAACATATCATAAAGACATATAAAATCATATCATACAGACAAAGTAAATACAAATAAAAAACTAATTAAAGATACTACATAAAAAAATAAAAGATAAAGAATATCAATAGTCGATAATTAACATTAAATTTAATACTACCATCTATTAATGAAGATGAAAAGAAAAGAAACTTAAGAGTCCAGTACCTGATCATACCAAATCAATCGATAATTAATACATTAACATTAATATAACCTTAAATTTAAGCCATTTCATATGTATGAAGAGCGTCTACATAAATTTAAAAAATAATTTTATTGTGCTTCGAATATTCGTTTGTTTGTCTGTCTGTGTCATTTATGTAGTAAAATGATAAAAAAGAATATACTGAATTTTAATTATAGTAGTATTAGCATAATATGTACTTTCAATTATATAATATTAAGGTTAAACTACACATTTAGTATTTTAATTATTACTTTTATTTTATTTGGTCACCTATTTATTTTAAAAAAAATATACCTAACATTTAGGTTTAGTTTGATTTTGTTCATTCGTCGTCAAAAATTAATG